TAATCTTCGTTTGCCATTTTTTCCCTGTGCTCTGTGTTCAATAAACCACCTTCACGACTGCCTGCAATTGGATCCTCCTTTATTTCCTCCACTCGCCGTGACAAAAGCCATCTCAGGTTTACCCATGGACCACCTACCCGGTTAATCACAGCTCAAACACCCGCTCTGTGACAGACACTCTGACACTGTGATATATCCCATGATACTGACGCTCAGAGTTGAGCATCAGGAACTTTGGCTACGTTCACACTGCAGGCGAAAGCGCATCAAATCCGATGTTTTTGACCCTCTGCGACCATCTATCCGATCATGGTGTGACAGTGTGAACGGCACAAATCCGATATTTTCAAATCCGACCTGGGTCACTCTCGTATGTGGTGCTGAATCCGACACATATCTGATGTTTCAGAAAGCGACTGCTGTTTGATGGTCACGTCGCATTAAATCCGTCTTTTACGTCACTGACACGAGACAGACGCCAACTATCAGCTCCTGAGAAGACATGGTGAACGCTTCCTGTCCGTCCAGTGAAACTGTTGGGAAGACAACGTTGGAGAAACGTGAACATTTTCTTTGTACTGTGTAATCTGCAGATTCTGATCCTTTGAAGCTGCGCTCCTCTCAAACAGCAATAAGGATCATTATTAGGTTATTTACATTATTATGTAAATAACAAAATAACTTAAAGCAAAAACTGGGAAACGTGAAGTCCGAAGTCTTTATATTAAGGTCATCAGTCAAACATCCTGTTGCTCTGGGTCTAAACAGAGCGTTGTGTGTGACGTCTGCTTTTGTGCATGCGGCTGCTTTGAGCGTTCACACTAGAGCGCGTTGCTGCCACATTTTATTTGTAGAGTGAACGAGCAGACAAAAAATCAGATTTGATCCAAAAATCTGAATTGAGCTTTAAGATCTTAGAGTTCCTTAAAAGTCCTGAGAGGTCAGGAAATGCTGGAAACCAGTTTCCACCCAGCCCTGTGTACTGGGATGGCCTGTAGCTCCACAGTGTGAAGGTGCACATATAAACGCACAGATGGAACATTTTTCCGAGGCTGTTTCACCTCTGATCTGTCTCTCATCGGTGTGTAATTAAAACAATTTTATATCCTAAAATAGATGCAGATCGTTTAAGGAACCAGAACTCGTGCGTGCTCAGTCAGGGGTTATGACCACAGGCCGGGACCAGATGGTTCACAGGGGCTAATGACATCAGTCACGCTGGTCATACATCAACAGACATTTTCATGGGAAAACAGTGCACATGTATCAACATGACGACACAGGGTTCGATGAAGTTCTCCACAAGGATGTGGACTTCATGTCTTCTTCACTGACGTATGAGCTGTTACTGTTGGAGGGCTGACGGCGTGCGTCTCATGTCACACTCCTCCACAGTGAGGATGGACTCATTGATACGAGCCTCTGGTGACTGCACTTCAAAACAAGGAGTGATTCAACTGCTCTGCTAGTGAAGCATCACCTGGGGCAGCTCTGACTGCTCCTGTACTTGGTGATGTGCTGCCCTCCTGACACACCTGCCTGCTGTTGTTGCTGTCCAGGTGATCTTCCACCTGTAGTGTCATTTGGCCTTTCAGAGGCCTCGCTGCACCGTCACTCACTCTGAAGGCAGCCGGTGGACGTCCCCGGTCATCCAGGGCTTGTGGTTGGGATAGACCAGGTGACACCTCCAGGTCTGGATGTTCAGAAATGTCCTGGTGGTGTGGAGACAGTCCTGCAGCTGCTGTAAGGCTTCATCAGGCCAGGTTCTGATAGTCTTCGAGGTGGCCAGAGCAGCTGTCCTGAGAGGAAGCAGCTTCCTGCTCACATCCAGGCGGCGACACTGTAAGAAGTCCTTTCAGGGTCTCCCCACCTATTAGAAGTTTTACCGTCCCACTGTTCCCGGCCCTGCTCACTGGGAATTGTCCAATTAGAGTTTTCTCTCTAATGTTGTAGGTTGTTTACCTACAAAGGGCCTGGGTGTAACTGATGTTACACAAATAAAACTGGACTAAACTAAATGACCAGTTAACCCAACGTGAATGAACGTGCATGTCTTTGGACTGAACCCGAGAAAACGTGTAAACTCCAACCAGAAAACCATAGTTTGAACCAGGACACCATCCCTCCGGGTGGAGCCGTGGACGTCTTCTAACAGTATAACGGTAATCAGAGACCAGTAATGAGAAGTCAAGGACGGACAGGACCATGACTGCCAAAAGGCGTGTCTCTCTGAAATGAACAGGTGGGATATTAATGAGATCAAAGGAGTTTCTAAAGGACACGAAACAACAAAAACAGAGGCAAACAAAGTTAATCTGTTACGAAAGAGGCATCAGAAAGAAAGGATCTGTAGGAGCGTGTGCTGACAGGGAGCAGGAGCAGATTGGGGATCAGACTAGATTACGGCTGCAGCTTACCTTTCATATATGAGCTCCTCATCCGTGCTGAAGAAGTGTGTGTTGGCTGTATTCTTAGGTTTGACCCGCAGAGTGGCAAAGTACAGGCGGTCTGTGGTGTACAGCACACACACACACACACACACACACACACACACACACACACACACACACACACACACACAGGTTACATTCAGCCTCACACACAGTCCTGGCTTCAGGTCAAGGATACAGGGCGATAACGCTCTCTTGTCCCGATCACACCGAGCTGCTGACTGCATCCAGGTATTTTTGGTGTCTCGGTTACAGCACAGGATCAGTTCCCCTCATTAACTGCTGCTGAAACCGAGGCAGGACCCAAATCTCCTGCCCTTATGTGACACACTGGTGCTGCTTACTTAACCTGATTTAGCCAAACTTAATCCTCGCACTACTGAAATGCTTCTTTTTACCAGATCAGAGAACAATGGCTTTATAAACTTTAACTAAACTGTAATATTTGACTCTATGAGTGAGTGAGCTGTGGGACACTGGGCTACAACCTGCCCCAACTGTTAGCCTGTAAGTTTCAACCTTTCAGCTACATATAGTTCTACATGTACTCATGAGTAATTAGGCAGCTTCAGTAAACCTGGAAAGCAAGTTCTGCAGTGATAGCTGAAAAGAGAAAACTTATTCCTGGAAACGAGCCGCTGTGTAAAGGCTGTGAAGCTGACCTGGACCTGCACGGACTCACTTTACCAGGATTCTTGTTACCGTCTTAATGCACAGCTATTACAGTTTATATCATGTTAATTATAGCAGACACCGCTGAAAACGACCCAGCATCCTCCAGGCCAAAGGCCGACCAGCTGCCCCACAGTCCTGTCAAGAGTTATTGACCCACAACAATGCTGATGAAGAACCTGCAAAATAATCAGAAATGTCCTCGTCTCGTTTCGTTAGTGTCCCCCTGATGGAGACTATCGTGGTCAGTGTAACTCACACTGAATCACGCTGGTTTAGCTTTGTTTGAAAGAACAAAGGAGCCAAAGTGAACGAGCAGTTGTCCTGTGTATTTATGTCCACGCGCGCTCTCAGTCACGCGCATGGAGATATTGCAGGCTGTAGTTTCTTATAGAAACCATTACGCAGTATTACATCCCAGGACTGATGTTAAACTTACCCTTAATAAACTCTGATGCGCTGGCCTGCTCATATCCATCTGCCATTTGTTACAGTGGGAATGGTCGCGTCACAGTGACTTTGTCCTCTTCTTGGTTATCTGTTGTGAGACCACTTGAGATGTTCCAAAAATACCAAGAGTTCACTACAGAATCTCATTTCACCTCCGTCACTACTGTAAATGAAAAGCGTCCAACTTTAAAGTCTCCCCGCCCGCAGCTGACGAGGAGCATGCGTAAAGTCTCCAAAGTCCCCCCAAACCGAGTCGCTCCGCTCCGCTCCACGGCCTGAACCGAGAGGTTTCCGCTCCTTCATGCCTGAACTACAACGAATATTCCAGCAAGTAGAAGATATACAGGGCAGCCCAGAGTCGTGGCAGCGATAATCTCTCTGCTGCCTCGCACATGCTCAGTCAATGGTCACATAAACGCGCGCACGCACACACCCGCGCTGCCGAAGCTGGAGCTGGATTTAAACAGAAACCCCCCTTTCCCAGTAACAGAAACGGGATATATATTTATATATATTTATATATATTTATATGTATTTATATATATTTATATATATTTATATATATTTATATATTTCAAGGCTGCTACAAAATGCACCGTTTGCTTATTTGTATTTGACGATCAGCGTGAACGTTACAAAAGTAACACCACAAAGTCATTTATGCTGATGGCATTTCCCTCCCGTGTCTGAGTGGCCTCCCTCGTGCACACGTTGCGTGTTTGTGCTATGATGAGCTGGGTTGGGTCTGCATGGAGGACTGCACTGTGGTGTGTTCCCATCACCCAAAGGTGGAAAGTCCTGAGTGCCAAATGTCTGAGCTGCCTGACTGAACTGTGACTTCCACAGGCCGCTAGCTAAGTCTGCACTTGCATCACTTAGTTTTCTAATCAAGTGTTTGCTTGGTTATTAAACAGAAATCTTTAGAATGGCTACAGATACAGGGGCCGCCCCACAGTTTACATGCATTGATTTCTAAAGGGGCTCCGTACCCCACACGGAGCTGTCACAGCTGTTAGTGGGCCTGTCACCACTGACTGGAAGACCTCCACACCATTAGACTGCATTACTGTTGGATCAGCCTCACACAGACTCATTTTAACGAGATGTCACTTTTCCCACGTGTCTCTGTTTCTGTGCTGGGACAAGAACGGGACAGCAAAGCTTCGAAGAATCTCACATATAAAACATGTTTTCAGACTTTTTGGTTTAATTCCACATTGTGATGTCTGCTACAGTGTAAATACTTATGAAAATAAAGAAAAACGATCAAATGAGAAGCTGCATCCAAACTTTCTGTTCTTTTTTTAAATATCTTTTTGTCTTTATTAGACAGATGCAGTGAAAACTGACAGGAAAGTGAGAGAGGGACACCGGGACTCCTGCTCACCCAGCTGCGCCGCAGGTGTGTCCAAACTGGTCTGAACAAGGTCTTCAAGTCCGTCCAAAAGAAACAAGTGTCATTAAGCAAACGTGTCCTAATGAAGACGCTGAGGACTCGTTTCTTTGTTGGACGCGCTTGTTTGGAACAGATTTGTTTCTCCACGTGACTCATTTCATTCCCACAGAAATATTCCCACCACAGTGTTACTTTTTCCAAGAACTTGTAACATTGGAGTTTAGCTATGAGCTGAGGCG